CAGGAAAACATTCATTTTATTTGTAGCGCGTCATACAATCACTGTTTCCTCTGACTTTGAAGAAGCCGCTGAATCATGCCAATGAATTTCTACAGTGCTTCACAGTCATTATTCACTCCATCAGAACCTCCAGTGACTGTACTTTAACTTCCTCCTGCCAAAAGACACGATGGCCCATTGATGAAGTTGAAGTTCTCTCTGTCGGTTCTCCAGCTGAGGCTCGAGAACCGACAGCAGCCTGATGATACCACTTGGTTGATTGAACACCTGTTAGAGATGACGAACATCAACATTATGACTCATTATTCCTGTGTGGGTTGACTTTGTTGCCAGTGAGAACAGTAGTGAGAATGGATGGAAGTTTCTTTGTCCAGCATGTGTTATCATTTAGTACTTCAGGCTGATTTACTGTGAGGAGTGCTGCACACTGGTCACCACACACATAATCCATGTCTACCTGACTTTACCAAAACTGGAGATAGACTTGAATGTGTGTGTGTGTGTGTTCTTGTGTGTGTCAGCAGTGAGCAGAGTTTTATTTTTAACAGTTTCATTCTCCACTTCCTCCTCCTTGTCCCACTCTCACTACGTTCTGTCATTTACACCTGTGCGGTGTTGATTGAAGGGCACAATATGCAGAAATGATTTGAGAGAGTGACTCATCAATCATCCAGATGTAGAACTGTTCAAGTCAGCAGTGAGTTCAAATAAGAACCTGGACAGGAAAAGAAGTGCTCTTTTATTGTGTGGTGTACGGCCTTATAGTCACACTGACTTCAAGAGAACTCAGAGGAAATAATAATGATACCGTCTACACTCATGGTGCAACATTTCCTACAAATCAAAATGCATTATGGGAAATTCTCTCCTAATACTCCCTACATGCTTCAGGATGTGTCAGAGGTGTTGAGGTTTTTCTGGAGAATATTCTGGACCATACTTGTCCTTGTTTTGATTGTCAGACATTTGAATGTACTGTTCAATAACCTGCCAACAAGAGAATACAATTTTTAAGGTACATATAAAACATTATTTTCATCTGATTTTGACTACTTTTAACATGCTGCAGAAACAAATGGAGATGTGTTCAGTTCAGGAAACTGAATCCTCCAGACTTAGTTTTTAGTCTATTTTTTCCCTTTCTTTTCTTTCTTTTTTTGTTTTGTTATTACTTGCTTTTGGGAAAGTTTTCTTTCTGATAACTAGAGGAAATCAGAGCCACTAGGTGGCAGTAATAGGAAGTGAAAGTAGCAACACTGCCATTTGGAACACAATCGTTTGAAGTGGAAAATGAATGTGTGTTGTTTACTGTGGCGTGTACTCTGTATTTATTTCATTCACATGGTCGTTTCTAATTAAATTAAATGAAAGCACATCGTTTTCCATCTCTTAGCCATAATTGCCCCAGGGTTTCACCTTTTATCCAAGAGGCTTTTCAACCTTGACCATGACCTGGATGACTGAGAATCTTCAAAGACATTTATTGCCCCATGTTTTCTCTTTTGTGGTTTCTCTGCTTTCTATGCACATCAGTAATTTCCTAAAGTCGTGAAAAAGATTTGAAAAAGTTATTTCATAAATGTTTAATTTGTAGAGTTGGTGGTCTAATCTTTTTGTTTCTGTTTTTGTTAACAGGCCTAGTCAAAAACCTGTACAACCACACCCACAGAGGGTGACTTTGTTGTTGTTGTTGTTGTTGTTGTTGTTGTTGTTGTTGTTGTGTCAGTGTGTTCACGTCTGTTCTCTGCAGCTTCATGTTGAGAATGTTTCACTGTCTGTGGTGGAGAAAAGAGCAGGGGACGCCACAGAAAGTGGATACCTGGATAAATGTGGATCACGTCTGCTGACGCTGTCACTGTGCTCTATATATGGAGTGTGTGTGTGTGTGTGTGTGTGTGTGTGTGTGTGTAATCCTAATTTATTCTGCCATCACTGCAACACTGAGCACGATGGGAAAGCTGAGCATTCACTTCACTGACACTAAATCGACTGTCATTACACGGCTCTGTGTGTGTCTGTGTGTGTGTGTGTGTGTTGTCTCCTCTGTCCACACCCTGCCACTGCCGTCCTCTCTGTTCATCTCCTGCTTCCTCCCTCCTTCCCTCCTTCCCCTTTTCCGTACTCCCTCTGAATAATTCATGAGTGTTGAGAACACGGTTTTTCTCACTCACACACGACCGTTCGCTCTCACTACACACACACACACATACACACACACACACACACACACACACAGACACAATAGAGTAAAACACAACACTTACGTCTCTGTATGTGTGAGAGCGCGTGTTCCTCTCCGCTGTAATCAGATGTGTGTGTGTGTGTGTGTGTGTGTGTGCTTTTAAATTTTCTTCAAAGCAGATTCACACAGTTTGTGTGTGTGTGTGTGTGTCAATACAGTGGGATTAGCAGGGATTAAAATGAAACTGCTTAGTAAACACAGTTTTCTCAGTGTGTGTGTGTGTGTGTGTGTGTGTGTGTGTGTTGAATTTATTAAATTTCTTGTAGGGACACATTTGAAAATAAATGTCCTTGTTCTCAGGGACATTTTTTCTGTAAATCAAACTTTGTTCACATGGATGATTTTGAACCAGTGACGGTACAAAAATGTACTTTTATATTTGTCGGCACAACTATTCTAGGAAAAACTGTTCTTAAAGGTCGACATGTTGTGTTTTCTACTCACCCAGAACTTCCAGGCCCTGCCCAGACAGCCTCTCCACATCACAAAGAAGCAGCACATCCATGGTAAGGCTTACTCGCTCTCTGTCTCTCTCTCTCTCTCTCTCTGTCTCTCTCTCTCTCTTTTTACCTGCACCCACCAAATTGGCAGCCCTGGCTCCACCATAAACCCTAAACCTTTTCACCTCACCCAAATTGAATGTGAAATCCTGTCCATCCCAGTTCTTCACCTTGGCTTGTCTTTAAGACATAACTGAGATCCAAGATTCAGCTGTCTACTCCAGTAATGCTGGTCTTCTGTGAGGTAATCTTGCACTGCAGTGCAGCTTACAGCTCTATTTCTGACTTTTACTCTGGTTGGCTCACTCTCACTCTGATTCATGGTCGCTAACATCAGCACACGTTGCTCCTCATTTACTTGGATTCCCAGCGCTCCCCTGGCTCTCATCAAATCCTCCT